TTTCACAAAAATCTTGCATGTCTGGTCTTAAGAAGCTGATCTATTCTTGATATCTATTAATTTGTCCCAGGTATGCATTAAAGGGGTTAGAAATGTCCTAGAATATTAGCTACTCGGTAATTCGTATATTCTTAACTGGATATTGGGATAAATAAAGATCTAAGTCTGTGTCTTCAGTCGTTTTTAGCACTTAGGCTTCAGTCAAGTGGGATCTGTCAACTCTATAATGGAAGGAACCCCATATTAAATAGATTAAGCTGTGACTCAACATGGATACAGAGCTCAAATGATTTAAAGCTCTTGCCCAATTACAGGCTGCACGTTGGAGGCTCAGTCAAAGGCAATTCATAGTGGGTTTACAGCTTATAATGCCTGTGGTACAATCTGGTGGGTCTATCATTAAAATCAAAGCAAAAGCAGGATTTTTGCCTGCATTACATTTTTGAAACAGCCCCCAGATTTAAGAAAAAAAAAATCTTTTGACTTTGCAGCTGCAGTTATGCAGTAGCCAAAATTTCAAAAGAAATACTATCATGACATTCAAGCCACAGTTTTTGGTATCGAATTTTCAAATAATTTGAAATTTTAATGTGAGAAAGTATAGATGAATGAAGATATAGACATTTCGCAAAGAAACTGATACCACCATTTTTCTCATTGCGCACCACTGACAAAAAAGGTTTAAGTATGATACAATCTAATGAAAAAGAGAAGGAAAACCTGGTTTCTATTGACTATTATAAAATAATCTTTGAATATGTCTGTTTTCTTATGTCAGCTTTTCCTCATGGCATGCTTCCCGTGTTTGTGTAAGATCTTTTTCCTCTAAGTCGCTGTGCCTGATGGCTCAGGTTTGTATCTCTATGCTTTCACGAATGAAAGTCATTTGGTAGAATTACTCCCTATGGTTTAAGATAGTACAGTTTGAACCAAATAGTGTTATTGTAGTACATGAAAATCCAGAGGAATTTTCCTTTGATATCATATAGCCATGTAGCACACAGATATAAAAATAACTTGATATGCCAAGCAATGCATGCAGGTAAGAGTGAACTAGGAAAGAAAAATTCCATAAAGGAAAAAGAGAAAGTGTGGGGAAATGCTCCATCTAAAGCATGTGATGATATTCAATTGTTTTCCTCCAAAACACCCTAGAAAATTTTCCTATTGCAGCTATACCGTATCCCAGGTATGAGAAATCCAGTGAATTTTTCTCTGTATGTCTATACTTTTAATTTCTACAAATGAACATGGTCCATCCGAGTATACTGTAGAGGGCTATTTATTTCTGCCTCCAGCTTTCTAACGTTTGCCTAACTTCCACAAATTTAGCTCCTATGACTGTTGGAAATAAATCAAGGAGCTTATCTGTGTTCCACCTGTTTTGAAAAACTCCAAAAGATTCTTTAAAATTTGAGAGGGTGGGGTGGGAAAGAGAACAGTTATCAAACATTTCAAATGTCATTATCTTGCTGGAAATAATACCAGCACAAGTGTAGAAGAGAAATGAGACCTGCCGAGACAAACCCCGAGATGAAAGGGTAAACCCTAGAGCAACAAGCCCTGGTCCAGGGCCTATCTCCCATGGCTGGCGGCCATGGCTGTCTAGGTGTGATCATGTTATGCTTGGCAGGTCTGCGTGTTTGTTGCAGCCTCTGCTAGTGCAGGGGGAAGCAATGGATAAGAGGAGAAAAATGGTTTTTATCCAATGGGAGAACTTTGCCCCTTGGCCTGGCCCCAGACAGCTGTTAAAAGTTTTCTCCCCCTGCTGCTTCAGGCGATTCTCTACAGGTTGCAGTTTCCTTTAAAACAAGTCAGAAAAATGACTAACGTGAGAGAAGAATTGGCACATGGAAAGACTGAACCGGGCTTTCATTTCTAGCAAACTGGGAAAAATAAACCAACTATGCAAAGGAAGTCTGATTTTTATTTATAAAGGAAAAAATGCAAAGTTAATAAGCACCATGCTATCCCCCTGCTTATTCATCTAAGAGTCAGTTTACAACTGTGGGCCAGGAAAGATCCCCTATTCAATATCAGAGATAGAAAGGCCAGCGGTATAAATGCAGAGGTACATTTTTTGTCTCTCTTTTTTAAAAGTTCCATTTCTCTTAGCATTTCTATACTAGAAAAAAGGAAAACATTATTGAACATAATAAGTAGCCTGGGATTTAGAGAACCTCATTTTAAAAGTGAATGCTGGCCCGATGGAAAAGAAAGCTAAAAGCCAGTGGAAAATATTGATTTATGGTAGAAATCAGATGTCTCTTATCATTTCAGAGAAACACAACCTATATACAGTTAAAGGGAAATGAAAGTGGTGTTTTGTCTTATACCCTCATCACTGGAATCAGTTTTAGGAACTTGGACTCAGGAGGCTCGGAGCCTCGTCCTGCCTTTGCTTCTGCTTTCTAGAATCAAAAACCTAAAACGACTAGAATTCAAGATACACTCAGTACTACAGAGAAGCTGTGACAAAGTAATAGTTTGTTATCCAATGAGCGGAAGTAAACAAATGTTGAGGAGAAAATAAAACTGTGAATCTATATGATATAGAAGCATCTATGAGCCAGTGATGCAGAAAATGAGATTTCCCTGAAGTTTTCCTCAGATTTTAAATTAGGAAAGCCTTTCTTAAAACAGAACCAAAAGAAAACAACCACAACAACAACAAAAATGTTAGTTAATAGTCCTCAGTTGCATAAATGAGAAGATAGCACGAGACACTGTGAGGAAATTCTCCTATTATGTTTCAGTCCTCTTTGGTAAGACTATCAGTCTAACACTACACATTAAAAGGAAGTTTAGGATACTAGTTTTTAAATCACATATTTATTTTTGGGCAGGCACACCTATGTTTGTAAGTCAACCTTAAAGCACCTCTTTTCTGTAATAAAGTCTAGAAAATTCTTATTCAATGGGCCAGCCTGATTTACAACCTAGCTCTAATTTAGGAGATTAATGAAGACATAAAAGTCTGAGAATCATCAGCTGGCTATGAATGTCACTGCTCAAAAGCCAAATATTTTAGGTAGACCAAGAAGAGAAAACTGGGTCCCCAAAGAGTTTTGGAACTTGTGGATTACATGGTCATCTCAAATGCCTGCTGGTTCCAAGATAAAAGTTGGAATTTCCCAGCAATCATTTTAGCTCTATGTTAAGCAACCTTACAGATATCCAGTCTGCTAGATAGATCGAGTTATTGACATTATGCATCATTTTCCTGCGATGCAATCTCTCCATGATTTGCTTTGTTGAAGCAAAATTATAAACTGATCTCAGTTAAGACAGCGATGGTTTGAAATGTAAACTAAAAAATGCCTTTCTAGAGCAATTATGCCAGGACCCAGAGCTAGTGGCCCATGGTAGCACATTTAGTATGATGAACTT